AAATTAACTTGGCATTTTATCTTAAGTAATGCATTATTGCATGTACATAAAATATATTTTGTGTATTTCTTTCTTGGTATTTTATTAGCTCTCTGTATCTAGAGAAAAATGAAGTTTGTCTCATGGGTAGATAACATTTAGAAACATGTTCCAAATCTGCACTCTAGTTTCAAATTTGATAAAAGTGTCCTGTAGATGTAGCTGCTTTGATGAGGCCATTTCTGGAACTTAATAGTGGGCTCAACTTATAAAAGTGTTGCTTGCCTTCCAGGAAGGCAATTACCTATCTAGTAAATCCAAAATACATGAAATTGTTTAGTTACAAGTATTCAGGTGTAGACATAGAACAGCCTTGTCCTATGCTATAAAATAGGATTTTCTCTCACAGAAGGTTCCCCCTTCTCACCCTGCAGGTGGTACTGGGATAAAAACTCAGAAAGAATTTTATTGCCCACACGAGAGGCAAAAAGGTCCCTTTAAGACACCCTCAGGGTAGGAACTTACACAACATGACCAATTAAGTCATGTTGGAGAGAAACTAAGCAAATGCTCTGAGCTGCTTTGCTTGTTGACCATGTTTTCTTTCCCTTCCTCTTGTCCTTGGATTTCTGATTTGGCTTTGCCTCTGGACCTTAGATTTTATCTCTTGGTTATCACTCATTTTTGGACCAAGACTGGAGTTACTTTATTGTTACTGGCCCAGACTCAGTGTCTGTCAAATTTCATTCCACCTTGCTATAGTTTAGAACATATAATTTGATCTGTAAATAATTCCTGAATATAGACTTAAAAACTGAAAATAGATCAATAAGAATTTTGAAAATCTTAGTATCTTGACTGCTTTCTCATTGTAACAGTGGTCAGTATTTAGCCCATGACCTGTATTTTTTTGTGGGATGTGGTGTGGAAAGACATGCCTACTATTTATTACAATGGAGAAAGCGTGATGCTTCTATCGGCTGTATCTTGTTTTGCTTTCTCAAAAAATATCTTTTTAATAAATGAACTCCTCTGTGTTTGGCTTAAAAACTATCTTAGACTCTTCATCAGGGCACCCAACTCTGCTCCAGCCCCCTTTGCTCACTTGCAGTCTTTGAAGCAACCTTGGGAGACAATGGACTTAATATGCCCTTTGCTTTGCAGTCTCTTTAGTTTTTTGGCTCCTGCTTTGATTCTGTATGGTTACCTGATCCACTTACTCTGCTTCTATCTTGAGCAGGCTGACAAATAGGCAACCAGAAATTTAATACTAAGTTACATTTGTTATGGATGAATTGAGGTTCCTCTTCATTGAAACACATAATTCTCTAGAGCAATGCTTTCCGAACTATTCCATGGAACAGATCATGGCCTATTAAGTAGTATTCTGTGAAAAAAAGGAGAGTTCTCTGGTCAGATGGTGCGGGACTCATGATAAATACTGTAACATTAAATGCTCTAAAAAGTCTTGTAGAAATGAAACCTGTCAAGTGAGTTGTGTTTGTTTTTCTAAATGCAGTTGTCCATGGAACCTCTTCTCTTTGGAATACCTAGTCACATCTCAAGGCTCACCAGTTTTCTGTGGAAGACATTTTGGGAAATTATATTCTTAGAATTTGAACCATAAGTTGACTATCTTCCTGATCCACATCTTCAACAATAAGTTTTTAATAGATTAGTTCTGATTTAAACAGCAGGTCATCTATATTTGTATTATGTTAGATAAAAATCTCATAATATCAAAGGATTACCTAATTAAAACCAGGCATCTAATGAGTCAAAAAAAGTACTTGACAGGAAGTTATAGATGCCTTAGAAATTCAGAACTCTTAGTAATGTGAATTAGTTCAGTCACTGCTATCTGTGTGTTACCCATTGATTTACCTGTGTGTGTGATTTAAATTTTAGTACGAAACTGATGCCAGGGTAGTCTGGCATATTTTATAAAAGAATACGATGTCCTGGCCTTAATAGTTTGAGGCTAACACATAGGGAGGGCAAAGTTTGGACATTTGACTTATCACTTTGGATACAGATTCACTGTTAATCTTAGGAGTATCAAGATATAGTAAAATAATCCTATAATGCGGATGCTCACTGTATCACTGGTTTTTCTGAAGTGGGCAAGGTACTGTTCATGTTAAACAATTACAATTTAGGAGTCTTAGATATTTATTTTTTGGAACTGAGTTAAAGGAAATGTTTTTCCTTTCTTTTTCTCATTATTTTGAAATAAAACAACAGTTATGGCAAATGTACCTTTATAGGTGATGCCTTTTAATTCTCACCTCAAGTAAATTCAATGTCAGTTAAATCTTCCCTTTTTTGTCTGAGTTACACAAAACCCAATGGTGATGTATCTTTCAATATGTATATTTAAAATTTTATTTTTCATGTTTGAAAAATTCCTACATATAAGTGAAAAGAAAAATAGGCGGCTTTAGGGAATAACGGAATTTAATCAAATAAGTAAAATCACTATTTCATGGGTATTGGATAGATAGATGGAAATTGCACCCTCCAAAAAATGAATGAAACAATTGATATTTTCACATGAAGTCAGGTTTAACAAGAATCTCTCTCTACAGAGTTCCACAAGTAGATTTTTATGATTGAATAATAAGAGAATTCTCTTTCTTACCTGCCAGCACCTTCTGAAACCTTTCTTCCCTTGAATACCACAAACATGCATGCCGTCTGAGACAGGGAAGGCGGCCTCCGTGAAATCATGCCGGCGCTTTTGCTCATTAGCCCCTTGGCCTGGCCGCACTTGGAGAGGTTGATTTCCCCTAACAGACCCACTAACATAGCTGTTTGGAGAAGCAGTTTTACCCAATTAATTATATTTCGTTGCCCTGCTCTGGTTGGCTGATTGATTATTCCTGTTACTTAGGAGGAACAGTAGTTTTGCCTCAATGTAGAAGCAGCTCGCAGTGCAGGAAACTAGGGCACCAAAAATGACATGCCAGCTGTGACAGCAAAGCCCAGCGCTCTGCCTGGAGGGGGCGGCTGGCGCGCCGCCCGCTTTCACGCTTGGTCCCTTTCAGGCCGACTGCGAGGGCAACGCGACGCGAGCGAGGCTGCTGGCCGCGGACCAGCCTCTCCCCCTCCGCCTGCCTCTGTCCCTCTGTTGCCTGGGCCAAGCCCATGGGTGACACCCGTCACCTGCTCCGGCAGCAGCTCCCCACAGCCCCGCCGCAGACTTGGCTTTCGCTAGCTGCTGCTCGGGAAGGAGGGGAGAAAGAGCACCTTGCTTTCTAACAAGGACGTGAAATGGCATTCATTGAACAAATGGGATGGAATACACACTCTGTGACTGGCATGGTGACCCTTACGCTTTTAAAACTTATTAGGGAGAGAGACATCGAAGGGGTGGGGAGGGGGGACTTACATTCTCATAATGTATTTTTAGATTTGAGGATTACTGTCCTTTGCTAGGCTAGGTCATTAAGGACAAACCTACTCACACCCCACCTTACTCTTTTCAGTCAGGTAAAAGTCATTTTTCTTTCTTTCTTTCAAATAGCTCTTATTGGGATTTGACCCAATTTCATCAGTAGCAATTTTAGATTTCTAGTGAGAAAAGCTGATATGTGTGATTTGGCTATTTTCCTATGACTAATTTTGCTTGTTTTATAAAGCTGCCACACACTCAGAGAGCGTAATGGCTCTATTTGTTTTAAACAACTGCTCATTATATCTAAGCTTTGTCAGGTGAAGACCCTAATCGCGAGGGCCCTGGAGTCCCAGTTGTCTAATATCTCGTAGAATCAGAGAGCGGCCTCGGTGAGAGGGAAACAGGACCCGCAGCTGCTGCAATAACGGGCTATCAATATTTTAGCTTCCTCTCCGTTTCATTTCATATCCTTCCACCTGCCTGCTATATTTGCTCAGGTCTTCTCTAATTCTGCCTCTGTCTTTTAAAAGGCCACTTGTGCAAAAAAAATAAATAAATAAAAATAAAAGGCCACTTGTGCTCAGATGTGGAAAGCATCATTTAATTTCCATTGAATTAATGTCAGCCAATTGTTTTGTTAGTTACCCAAGGAACATTCCAATTTAACAAACTGGCATTTCCGGAGCATTTTATTTTGACACGTTAAATGATAATAAACATATTCTCCGTTAATTGGGCCTGGTGATGAACAAAGTAAATGTTCAGCCTTTCTTTGTTAATCATTAAGCAAATATGAGCCTCTCAAACCTAGTTAGAGGCCCTGCTATCTGGCACACCTGGTGTCTTTCTGAGAACTGGAGAAAGGCACCCCTCTAGGCAGACAGACTGCAAAAGGTATCTTCCCTGGGCACAGTAAATTGAAAAAAAAAGGTGCCCCTTCCTCCCAGGGAGGCTTTGGTGTCTTTGGCTGGTTGGGTGGGAGCTGATGGCCCCCGTTCACTCTGGGCCCTGACCACGTGCGGGCTCTGCCCTGCAGGACGATCCCACAGCCCCTTCCCCGGACAGGAGGGCAGGTAACAGCGGCTTCTATCCCCTCTGGACTTCAAACCCTGGAGGTTTTCTTGTTTTGTTATTTGATTTGATGGGATTTAATTCATTTTGATGGTAGTGATACATGAGAAGGAAGGTCAGAGAATTACCATTTGATTTTAGGATAAACCAAGTGAAATAACCTCAGTGAGAGTCCACTACAGGTTTCCCTTCCAGCGTGCAATGTTAGTAAGGACAGCGTTTCCTGCACAATAATCCAAAGACTCAGTTGGAAAGGTTTGTTCATCTTAAAGAATTTATTGTAACTTTATTATCAAGTGGCTGCTTCTATGGCCTATGTGTATATAGAAGCAGTTATCTGAGAATAAAGTGCATATAGATGAAACTTTTCTGGTATGTGTTCTTATCATACATGAATAGTAACGAAATCAAGTAACCGTTGTTTCCCAATTTAAAGTGGCAGAAGCTGCTACGATGTCATGAAAAAGTATTACATGTTCCCCCCCGCCCCAACACCCCAGGCTGGAAAGGAATGACTACTAAATGTAGGGCTTTTTTCCTCTCCTTATTTCAGGTGATGTGTTCCACATCACTGCTCCCAACAAATTCACCTATGAGGAGGCCAAAGAAGAGTGTGAAAACCATGACGCCCAGCTGGCAACTGTGGGGGAGCTCCACGCGGCTTGGAGGAATGGCTTTGACCAGTGCGATTACGGGTGGCTGATGGACGCCAGCGTTCGCCACCCTGTGACTGTGGCCAAGGCCCAGTGTGGAGGTGGTTTACTTGGGGTGAGAACCCTGTATCGTTTTGAGAACCAGACAGGCTTTCCTTCCCCTGATAGCAGATTTGATGCCTACTGCTTTAAACGTAAGTGTTTGATACCTTTTTAAAAGTTACAGATTAAAAAAAATACTTCGAAGGCATGCATTGATGTTCAACCAGCAATGGAAACAGTTCAGTAACTGCCAAAACACGCAAACGGAACAGCAGCGAGGTGGTTAAAACGGGGAAGTTTGACAAATGGTTTTTTAAAAGGAATGAGGAATTGTCAAGTCTTAACTGTGCCCCGTTGCACCACAGAACATATATCTGAGTAGTTATTTTATGTTAATTCAGTCCTTAAATGCAACTAGATCATGGTGCTGTAAGGCCAAGGCCAACTGTAGCTGAGTTGAGACCTTGAGTTTTGTTTATTTTGTCTTTGTTTGGTATGTCTTTCTTTGAAATGGCAGAGAATTCAAATTTCAATAATTGCAGGTGAGTACTTGGAACTGACATGGATAATATAACATTCAATTAATTAATACCTGAAAATGAACCACGCTATAAATAAAAATCTTCTTTTATCTCATTTTGTTTCAAGTAAAAGAAATGTGTCTTCTAATAATTAATTCTCTAGTACCATATTGGCATACATATATGTTTTTTGCTACCTTCATTAGGTTTACTACTTAAATTGGTTTTAAATAACAGTTTTCAACATTCAAGATATATTTGTTCAAAATTCTCAAATAACCTGAAATGATTTTATCAGTAGTAGTCTCATGATATAGTATCATACTTATAGAATGTTTAATTAAACAAGCAAGGAATCCAGAGTCCGGTGATATTTACTGTCCGGCCTATGTGACAGCTAAACAGGGATCTGCTACAATTTTGGGTGACCTTGAGTTATGTGTAAGGTAGGGGCATGCTATATTGAAATGCACTGAAAAGTTATTAGTTTCTAATACATCTTGTTATAGCAATATGTAACTGAAATGAGTAGAAAATAGCTTGTTATGTGATTGGTTTCTAAAGTGAAATACACAGTCATTCTTTATTAGCCAGAAAGATACAGCTGGGATATCTGAGTAGTCAGCAGACTAGATGTTAGTACAACGGGAAGGTGTGATTTCGCACACTGTTGCCTCCCAGCTATGATGCCTCTGCTTGGATCTCCTCCCATGAACTCAACTTTCTGAGTGTTAAGGCCATGTGTTGTGTATTAGCCCAATACAAGTGGGTCATAAAAAGCCATTGGAAATACTAGCTTTTGTTTCTAAAACCTGAAACGACAGAAAAGTCTTTCTTAATAAATTTTTAGGAAAACAAACAACAATGAAAAAACCTTACCCTTAAAAGTAGAAAGAAATATTCTTTTACATCACATTCTCATAACAGGTAATTCAAGCTCTAAGATCAGTTTTACATTAAGTGACTAATATGATTAAGGAACAAAATTGGCTTGGTGTGTGCTGGGATTGAAGGGGTTAGAGAGGTTAAATTAGGGAAGGAGTAGAATTCTCCAGCTCCACTACCTTGCTTGATTATATATATTTCTTGTGCTTTATAAAACTGGCACTAGAAAACTTTTAAACACTTTTTCTCCCTGAGGGCAAAATTTAAGTCAAAGCCTGTCTATAGCCACAAAGAATTCATCCCGATGTGTTTTAAATTATTTGTTTAAATGAAGAATTCACGTGAATGTAGGAAATAGCAAGGTACTTCAGTTCAAATAGAAAAGCCACCTACTAAAAATCTACATTAAAATCTTAAAAAGTTGGAAAGTTTAGGTCCATTGTTTTCTCTCTAATTCATTTAATCTGTATAACTTGGAAATATATAACTTGCAAATATAATGGTTCAGATTTTGGGTTTTGTCCCATCTGAGCTAAATTCTTGTTTATTTCTCCCCTACCTAAGACCCTATCATATTCAAAATTTATTCAGTGCATAAAAAGCTTAGAATGTTTAGTCATAACATAAATGCCTTTCTTAAAGCACATGCAATGCCAACAGCTTCCCAAATTTCTAATTTATTTTTCGAAAATTATCTTAATATACAGGGTGTGGCAAAAGTAGGTTTTCAGTTGTGAGCACAAGAAACACAAGAGTTTATTCTTGTATTGTTATTTAATATTGAACAACTGTAAACCTACTTTTGCCCCTCTCTCCTGTACATACATGTATATATATACATGCACATATATACACGTATATGTGTGTGTGTGTGTATACACACACACGTGTATATATACACACACACACATATTTTAATTTGAAAAATATTCTCAATGACTTGACTGCCATCCACTTTTCCCACATAGTTGAGTAGTGGCTAAATTCTGTAGGGTAAATATTGTAGGAGTTGTGGCCCTTGTGACAGTTCCAAAGTGATTTCAAAGATATACAGTTGGTTGGTAAAGTAGAGGAATTTAGAAATATAATCATGTTTTTCTTGTTTGCTTTTACCAAATGCAGAAAGTGTTTTTATAGCCCCTTCTTGGTGAATGAACAATACCCAATCTCATTTTGCTATAATTCCCTTTTTCCTTTTAAAATCATTGAATAGAACATTAATAATGGCTGATGATAAATATAATTAGAATCTATTCTTGTCAAATAGATTAAAAAAAACAAATAAATTAATGTCTATGAAATAAAGTTTTCCTCTGTATTCCCCTGTGATGATTAAACTAAACCACTTCTGATTTTTCTCTGGCCTCAGAGTTAAGCTAGTTCTGTGGAAGTCAGAGAGTTACACTGGGCTTTGAGAGATCACTCACACATCCTCAAATTTAAGTGAATCGAAAGCATTTGAGACTCATGATCATCTCTGTTTGATGTTATTACTGATCTCCAAAATGGGGAGTAGAACACGTTTCCTAGAAAAGCTCTTTTAATATCTTATTACTGTCACTCAGATAGTTTTTCTAATTATCTAAATCCATTGCCTTAGAGTTGGAGCCCATATTTCCTTTTCAGTTGGAGACCAAAATCTAAAGAACAGCTATTTCTATTATTGAGCACAATTCTTCATTGTCCCTCAACATCTTCCTCAACGGAAACAACTTCCTTGTTTTGAAATTTTACTGTCTAAGCCTTTAAATCATGTATGTGATCTTGCCTCGAGCCCTCCTTATTTGTCACATCCCTCTGTTTGATTAAACTTGGAACTAAAAATAGTGGCCCAAAGAAGGCTAAATAAATACCCACCACTTCATATGCTATCTTTCTTCCATATTTGTTTACCTTCAAACCTATGGTCAGTTTATCTTTCTTGTGCCCTAGATCATAATCTGACCATAGGCACCAAAACTTTTCCTTTTAAAAATGTTTTCTGTTTATTGAATTTGAATATGTTAGCATTCACTCACTCATAAAACTTGTAAAAAATTTTTGAATTTTAATCTCATTGTTTCAACCTTTACTTTTCCCCTGTTAACCCAGAATCACCTTATTGAATATCCACTTTACTTGTGATTCCAATGTTTACATTTATTTATGTATAAAAACATTTAATCTAGGAGAACTAATTTGAAGTTAGTCACTTCCCTATAATGTAGGCTGTATGGGTATGAGTTAAATTGACTATCATGCTGGTAACAGGATTTTTATATTTTATTAGAAAAATCTGCCTGATGTCTTACAACAGAGAAGATAGTCCATAGAACATAAAATGCCATAAGTAGAGCGATGTGAAACATCTGTGTGGTAGACAGCTGCAAAGGTTGGAAGGGAGCTTTTGTGGGAAAAGAAGCGTGCTGATTTCTGTTGGCTTCCTCATGTAGCTGAGGGGACACTGGCAGTTTTCTAAAACGAAAACATCTTCATGTGAGTGCTCCGTCCGGAGTGACACCGTTAGAATAATCTCGAGTTGTTGTTCTCACCTTTGTAATAATCATCATTAATACAGTGACTTTATTCTTAAAATATCTCTTCATAAATATTGGTATTTTTAAAAATGATTTTGTGGGGTGGGAGAAATGGTTGAAACAAATGGCACAGATGAGGAGCTATACTGAGTTATGATGGAAATCAGCTGTTAGGTTGATGAAAAATCCACCCAACCCCAAAAGGAAGTCTGAGGTTTTCCATTTCAAATAGTATAATTAATTAAATTAATTATAAGCAGACATTTTAACAGGGCTCTAAAATTATTAGAAACTTCTTTTTTTTTTTTTTTAATCACATAAATCCTGGCTTTGTAAAAGAGATTCTCTGAGACTCGTATTACGGTCACTTCACTGTGCTCCAGGACTACATGAGGCCAACACCAATGGTACAGTACAAATTGGCCAGGACATAGTTATTTAGTTTTTTAAAAATCTGATTCCTTCATTTTTCAAACACTTTCAAAGTGTTTTCTTAGCACTGTAGAAGTTACTAGCACAGAACTTGGGTTGGGACATAAGAAGACCCCATTCACAGGCCCTCTGTTTGGCCCTAATGCTGTTATCACCTCCTGTTAAGTTAATTTCATCAGCCATGGAAATACTCAGAGGGTAAAAGCAAAATTACCTTTTTTGTTGTTATTAATATGATTAATTTTTTTCTAATATGCAGTGTGCTGTTTATATTATGTTTCCATGGAAACTTTCTCTGTACGTACATTTTACTCTTTCCCCAAAGAATGCAGTTATAAGACAAAAATGATATTTGGCAGTTAAATGAGGTAACGGTTATGGAATTTCAGAGGATATAGAGAGTTGACTTGAAAGAAAAACAGTCAGCCACACTTTGGTTCCTTAAGTTGCTTTTTTCAATCAAAATAGACTAAAGCTTCTTCCAATAAATGAATGCAGAAAGGTTTTCTTAAAAAAATAAAAAGAGAAAAAGGATATTTAATATATTTTGAAAAGTTCAATTCTGTTTTTAAATTTAGTTTTGTTTTACTATAAAAGGACAAATCATGACAGACTTTAAAGATTATATAAATGCACCATAATGTAAATAGCTATCAAGTTTTTATTATAAAGTTGGTTAATCTGGGCTATTATAGCTCAAGTCTGATTTATAAAAAATAACATCATTTCGTCATTAAAATTTTAAAATAATTTTATTTTTTAGAGCAGTTTTAGGTTCACAGCAAAATGGAGCGGGCAGTGCAGTGATTTCCTATGTGCCTCCCATCCCCACTCAGGCATCGCCTCCCCCGTTGTCGACATTCCTCTCCACATTTGTTCTAATTTGTAGACCTACATGGACACATCATAATCACTCAAAGTCTGTAGTTTACATTAAGGCTCACTTTTTGTGCTGTACATTTTATGGATTTGGAAAAATATATAGTGACATGTATTTACCATTCTAGTATCATACAGAACAGTTTCACTGACCTAATATCATTAAGTTTTGACAGAGTAGATGGAGCTCAAAGGTATCCAGTGTTGTTTTCCAAGGACTCCGTTTTGGTATTATTAGTAGTAAGACACAAGATATTATAGATACTACAGATATTACAACTCTTATCAATGGGACCAGGCATTACCCATACAACTAGTTTTAAGCAGTACAGGCTATGGCAAAGCAACGACTAAGGTTTCCTCAGAACAGTTCCTTCTGAGTTGAGTGGCAGCTAATTTTTGATTTTTGAAAGTCTGAATTTGAAAAACAACAACCACCCAGACTCTTTATGTACTAAGCTGTATAACAGCAAAATCGAGCTGTTATCACCTCCTGTTAACAGATTCGTGTTAACAAGGAATCTTGTCTGCAACACTGTCACTTTCATACAGGATTTAAATTTCTTTAAGCAGGTCAAACCATTCCCTGTAAATCTGGATGCCTTATAATGTAGCGTTTTATGATGACATGTTACTTTTTATTGCCTGAGCCTATTCTTTCTGATGCCCAGGGTTGTTTCCAGTGATTTGTAATTACAGACCTAAAATATATCATGTGGGTACTTTATTTCCTGTTCTATGCTTGTGCTTCATGCTAAAGTAAGCCTGGAACCAAGACCTTTAAGAGTTACAAACACAGTGTGTAGAACATAGAACAAAACGTACAACTACGACAAATGCCAAGTGGCCTTTGCCAGAAACATTTTATTATTTATTAGAAACAAGGCTCCACCAGAGTTGAAAGGATGCAGAAGACAAATGTCCAACACCTGGAATCAAGTGAAGGGTGATTTTAAAAAGTTTAATATCCTGTTTTTATGAAACCCTCCACATTATGGACAATGTAATAGTTTATATGTAGCTTGGGGACATTTGATGTGGCTTTTTGTTGTTTTGCAATCGGAGGCCCTCCCTCTCCCCTGAGACACTGTGCAGCTTGAGAAGGAGGGAGAAACCCAGAGGCAGGGTACAGAAGCTTCCAGAATAGTAACACTAAGTTCTGCTAGGCTTCAAGTTGCTGCTCTAGTTTCTGATATATCACCTATCCGCTGTTTCCAAACTCTGCATTTATATGTTTTGGACATATCCTTCTCTTAAAACTACATAATATTCATTTTCCTTAACCAAGAACAGTCACTCATACCTATGGGTAAAAGCAGTGATAATCCTTACACTATAAAACACGTGATCAGTTGGTGACTATTAAATGTTCAGTTGCCCTTGGGTTAATTTAAGTATAGTTTTTAGACTCCTGTTCATCACAAAACACTTTTGGGTCACCCCAAAACATACAGCAGCACTTAACAAACACTGGACGTGCAACTTTTTATTAGTGACTTGTCTAATCAACTCTTTGAAATTATTTTCTAGCTAAACAGAATATAACAGAGGCTACAACCATCGATCTGAATATCCTTACAGAAACTGCATCACACAGTTTATCCAAAGAACTACAAATGGTACCTGACAGAACTACACCAACCACCCCTTTAACCACTGACTTACCTGTCATTACAACAAAGTTCCCTTCTGTGGGAAACATAGTCAATTTTGAGCAGAAATCCACAGTTCAGTCTCCAGCTGTCACACACAAATTAGCCACTCAACCACCCACACCTGCTGGGAGTGCCAAGAAGCCTTGGGATAGGGACTATTACTCACCTTCTGCTTCAGGACCACTTGGAAAGCCAGACGTATCTGAAATTAAGAAAGAAGTGCCCCAGAGTACAACCGTCACCTCCCATCATGCTACTGATTCATGGGATGGTGTCATGGAAGACATACAAACACGAGAATCAGTTACGCAAATTGAGCAAATAGAAGTGGGTCCCTTGGTAACATCTATGGAAATCTCAAAGCACATTCCTTCCAGAGAATTCCCTGTAACCGAAACACCATTTGTATCTACAAGAATGACCCTGGAATCTAAATCTGAAAAGAAAACAGTAAGCAGTGCTTCCGAATCAGTGCCCACAGCCCGCTATTTCACCTTGGGAGAAGGTGGTGGTGAAGACAGAACATCTACAGTTAGACCTGGCCAGAGCACTTGGGGCTTTAGCCAAATACCTGAAGTCATTACAGTGTCAAAGACTTCAGAAGACGCCACAGCAGGTCAACCAGAGGATGTGGAGGCCGCCTCCCCGGGAGCTAGGCCTGACAGTCATGGCACAGAGTCCTTTCCTTATTCCGGAGATGAGAGGTTAGCCGAGGGGGTATCCACAATTACTCGTCCCCCTGCGCACACAGAGGTGACACAAGGGAGAGAAAGAACAGAAGCCCTGCCACCAGAGGCGAGAACAGGTACTTATACCAGTGATGAAACACAGGAAAAGATCACCAAAGGCCCCTTCATAGGCAAAACAGAGGAAGAAGCCTTCTCTGGAATGAAGTTCTCTACCACGTCCTCAGGTTCTCTGGCGGAAATGACCAAATTCTTTGATTCAACGGCACCGACAACAGCAAAGCCAAGCGTGGCGCCAACAGAGGCGAGCGAGGTGGAGGAAGACTCCACAAGAACTGCAGTTGGATTAGACACAGACGGCCATCAAGATACGACAAAGCATGATGAGGCTGTCACAGCAGCGCATTCGACCCCCGGCACTTTAAGTGTGGAGGTGGCCACTGTCTCCAAATGGTTATGGGATGAAGATAGAAAGGCCTGGAAGCCGTCAGGGTTCACAGAACATGCAGGCTCTCCAAAACCGCCCCCTGCCTCACTCACCACTACGGGGGTGAGTGGAAAGGGTGGAGAAGTCCCAGGTTTCACTCGGGATGGAGGGGGTGACTTTACTCTTATCCCAGATGGTACTCAGACGCCGTCAGAGCAGTTTACTGAGGAAGACACGACAGACCACGGGGAAGTCACAGTTGTATTTCGGCCAGCTACATTGACTGGCGCTACAGAAAAGTCAACCTTGAGGGACTCTACAGCTGAAGAAAGGGTTCCACCTGTCACAAGCATGGAAGGGCGGTTTGCTCATTCCACTGTAGAAGGAAGTGCTTTGGATGAAGGAGTAGACACGGGTGTCTCTGAGCCTGTGCCCACTGCCCCTCAATTTGCACACACTTCAGATGTGGAAGGATTGGCATTTGTTAATTACAGCAGCCCCCCGGAGCCTACTACATATGTAGACACTTCCCATACCGTTCCCCTCTCTGTAATCCCCAAGACAGACCGGGGAGTGCTGGTCCCCTCTCTTCCATCAGAAGGTGAAGTTCTAGGTGGACCCTCTCAAGACATACATGCCATTGATCAGACTCACCTTGAGGCAACTGTTTCTCCTAAAACTATAAGAACAACAACAGAAATGACCCAGGGAACAACTCAGGAAGAATTTCCTTGGAAAGATAAGACTCCGGAGAAACCAGTTCCTGCTCTCAGTTCTACAGCTGGCACAGCCACGGAGGCGACAGCACCTTTGGATGAACAGGAAAGTGATGGGTCGGCCTATACTGTTTCTGAAGATAGATTGGCGACGAGTTCTGAGAGAGTCCCAATTCTAGAAACAACTCCAAGTGGAAGAATTGAACATACTACGTCTTACCCACCTGGTGCTGTCACTGAGCACAAAGCAAAAACAGAAGAAGTGCTAACACTAACACCAAGCATTAGTCCAAGTGCTACCCAACCTGTAGAAGAAGCCACTACTGAGGAAGGAGAGAAAACATCCTTAGATTATATTGATTTAGGCTCAGGATTATTCAAAAAGCCCAAAGCCACAGAATTCCCAGAAGTTTTAACAACTAAAGCCACAGTTCCAGGTGAGACCACTACTGCCTTCAGCCCAGTGGACAGACTTCACAGGACTCCAGCATTCCAGCCATCCTCGGTCCCCACTGAGAAACCACCTCTCATTGACAGGGAAGCCAGTGAGGAAACGGCCGGTGACATGGTCATCATTGCAGAGTCAACATCTCGTGCTCCTCCTACCACTCTCGAGGATATTGTAGCCAAGGAAATGGAAACCGGTATTGATAGAGAATATTTCACAGCTTCAAGTCCTCCTTCTGTTACACAGCCAGCAAGACCACCCACTGTGAAAGGCAAAGAAGCCTTCGGTCCTCAGGCACTTTCCACTCCAGAGCCCCCAACGGGGACAAAATTCCACCCTGACATAAATATTTACATTATTGAGGTCAGAGAAAACAAGACAGGTAAGTCTTTGCTTTCTAGACATACCAGTCAAGGCAATCAGCATTGTATCTTGAAATTTTCTTTTGGAAAAAAAAAAAAAGTCAACATACCAAATGCTGCCATTAGAAGATAACTGGAGTGTGAAAAAGTTCTGTGTTTTAGCTTCACAAATTTGTACAAGCATTGGAGGAATATGTTAAACAATTTGGAAGAATGTTAGATACAATTTTATTTTAAAGGTTTTAAGAAGCCCTGCTTTGTCATCTAATATAACCAGATCATCACGTTACATCCCTCAGGACATGCAGAACCAAGTGTTCTAATTTCAGTGTCTTCCATGCATTACTACTCAAGTGTAGTACTAGACTGTGTTAACATTCCATTGGTCTTTAACCATTAACCTTCAACACTTACACTGTGGACAGCTAAACCCGTTTTCCCATTCCTAGGGCCGACAGAAAGACATCTAAAGGTTTGCTGTGGTTTTTCTTTTCCAGGATTTTGCAGGTTTATCGTATGACTTGTGGGGTGGGTAACAGGCCTGTTGCTTAAATGTTATTTCTTGCAAGTTCCAAATGTTTTTAAGCTGTTGTCCTTGGATATTTTAATGAGGCTTTAAATATTCAGAACAAATGCAATCTAGCTCAGTTCTAGGAAATGCTATTATTCATTGCATCAACTATAATTTCAGAAGGTGGCTATGTCAGCATTACCTCTGTTCCCTAAAACTAGGTTGTAATGTTATTATTTTATGACTTAATTGTTTCATCAATAGGAATATTTGCAATGCCATCTATTTTGCTTAATTATTTTATTTATCTCTCTGGGGAAATGCTTAAAAGCTGTTTGTTTTTTTAACACTGATTAATACTTGCAATTTTCATGATCAAACATAATGTATTCCTTTCTAAAGACCGCACCATGTTTTAGCTGAGTTGAGACTACCCAGTGCATACAGTTCAATAGATCAATTCAGGGTTGTTTGTCTCTCTAAGTTAGGAGTCAAGATCATTGACTTTAGTTAAGTAGCTATATCCTAGTCTTAAGATGTGAATTAAATGAATAGATGCTCATTTCCCCTTGACACGGCTCTGAGAAGTCAGGCTAGAAGAATGTTCTTTTTTCTCTCTCGTGTACTGTTGGAATATTTCCCCCAAGCTCTCATTTTTCTTAAGAGCGATGCTGTCCTCATTAGAGTTCTCAGGAGGGCACCTGTTGGGAACAAACAGGTCACTCTATTGTCAGGTCAGCTGGCTTCCAGTGCTGTAGGGGACATTTCACAGATCTTCTATCTTCACAGCTCTACTATCCAGAATTTTCTCAGTGGGAAAGCTCTCGCAGGGCAGTAAGCTGTAGAGAAGGGAACACATCACCGGAGTCGGGAAGTTAATCTTCACGCTCCAGTGCAGCTGGCAGAGGCGGGCATGGGAGCATTACTTCCCTACTGGCCACGCTGTGTCTTGGAGACCCCAGCATGTTCCCTACCTTCCTTTTCTGCCTCCTGGAACTGGAGTTGGAGAGAGAAGATGAGTTGCCAGGCGGGGACCAGGACTGCTGTTAGCAGGCTTGGAAAACTGCAACGAGGGTATTGATATGAAAGAGAAAGAAGCGGGGAGAGCAGAGAAGGAATTACTGCCAACACTTCATTTGAGAATTAAAAAAATATATATTTGAATGACTAGTGACTACACAGCAGCTTTCCCCCATTTAGATTACTCTTTCGTCAGTGTGGATATTAAGCCCAGTCGAATAATCTAGAAAATGTAAAGAGTGTTCCACATTTAAAAACTCTTCTAAATGGGAAACCGTGTTAAGGTTAGGGTGATCAAGTTACAGAATGGAAAAGTGAAACTCCATCTCCCTGGAAGAGCTGGCAGCCCTAGGAAAAAACCTAGGTTTATAAACCGTTACTCGGAATAGAGGCCCAGTAACCCGACCCAGAGCCATTTACACAGAGGCGCATATTTATATGTGAGTTGGGAACTTAATTCAGCGGGGGCTGGGAGACATGGCCAGGGCTTTCCTCTTCTTTCTTCCATTTGTAAAACATGGGACCAAGATTTGTCTGCAAACTAATTCTTGTTCAGTATGGATAACAAATGGTCAGAAAGCTCTGCGGAAAGGGAATACCCGGTTCTCCCTCCAGGACAGGATCCCAGTGTGGGCGCGCATGGGCGGGCGCTTGGGGCAAGCATCTGCCTACCTAGTTCCCCCCCATTTCTCCCCCGCCCCTCCT